GTGTGTGTGTGTGTGTGTGTGTGGAATGAGGGAAAGAGGGAGGGTGCTAGAAGGGACATCACCGGAGTATCTAGTCAAGAGGCACGCGTGTTTTTGTGTGGATCAATTACTGTTGAAACAGCCAGCCAGTACTGCCTCCCCATGAGTGTATACATGCAAGCAGCACTTGGTAGTGGGCCAGGCTCAGAATACGTTCAAGACCGAATTGGTGCATTTTCGGTTGAAATGTGTTTGGAAAATTGCACCTTTATGGTGGCTAATCCTATGAATAGGCGGGAGACGAGTCAGTGGTTGGGGTGATTCGATGTATTCGAGAGGTGTGAGTGGTAAAGCAACCTGACTTTACCGCAACACACAAGTGTCATGTTGGGAGGCAGTATTGTTTCTAGGCCAGATCGAAGGCAATGCACCGCAGGCATTTTCGCACGAGGACATGTGAGGGTGTTTGACAAATTCATCTGCTTCATGGAACGGTGCAGTCAGGTGTCACCTCTCCATGAACTACCGGTAGGTTGATAGTGTGCATGCGTGCATGGATAGGCTGTTGTGTGGGGAAGGGAGGAAGTGAGAGTAAGTGGTGAGCATTGGCGCGTTGCAGGTGGGGCGAGTGTGGTGAGTCGACTGTTGTCCTCGTGGGCGGCAGGAAGGCCAAAAGTCTCCTCTACGCTGCTGTCCGCAGTGACGCTCGTGCTGGCCGGCGTCACCGTGTGCGTGATGCCCTATTGGGGCAGTCTCATCGGCCAAATCATTCTCATGGTGATCTACGGCCTGACCGTCTGTAAGTCAACCTCAATGCAAGTTTGGAATTACCTACTGTTTGGGCAAGACCCCACTCTACAATCCACTGACATCCACCTTTAGCGCCCTTCTTCTCGCTAACTTCCATCATCATCTGCGATATTCTTGACCTGGAAGCGCTGACGAACGCCTACGGCATTGTTACGATGGTGCGTGGCATCGCCAGTACAGTGGGATCCCCAGTTGCGGGTAGGTTGCGACATTGGTGCTGGTGAGACGTATGGAAGGTGTGCTACTGAGGTGAGTAAAAGTAGGGCAATGAGGTGTATGTGTATTCGGTCTCATTGCAGGTATGATCGTGGCGGCGACGTCTGTCTTTTGGGTGGCACTGCTGATAGCTGGCGGCGCGGTGATTGTGGGTGGGGTGCTCTGCGTAGCTATTCTCTTCCACGAACGCGCGAAGCTAAACAAACAGGTGGACGGTGGTGTGGATACTGAACAAGGTAAATGAAGGTGTAGTGTGTAGACCTTTCTAGGATTGGGTCGGGGACGAACCAGGTGGGTAGAACAGAAGCTCGTGTGGTTCTCAGTTCATTTCGCTGCACTAACTTCTGGTTGTAACTTTCACGAAATTGTAGGCTCTGATGTTCTGTATGCCTGCACTACAAAGCAGTAGACATGCATGAGTCTACCAGTGGG